GAACAAGAAGTATGTCTTTTTCTCTAGTTCTTAGAACTACATAAAATACCACCAATGTTGTTGTGTGGTGCCATCGAGTCAATTTTCAACTCATAGCCACGCCATATGACAAAGTAGGACGGCCCCATGGGCTTTTCTGGGCTGTAATCTTTACAGGAAGCCCTGGTGATGCAGTGGTTGAGTTTGGCTGGTGACCAAAAGGTCGGCAGTTCAAATCCACCAGCCACCCCTTGGAAACCCTATGGGGCAGTTCTACTCTGTCCTATAGGATGGCTAGGAGTTGGAATTGACTTGACGGCAACAGCTTTGGTTTATTTATTTATTTTTTGGTTAATTTTTATGGGAGCAGATCACCAGGTGTTCACGCGCAGAGCCGCTGGTGGGTTGGAATCTCCAGCCTTTCGGTTAGCAGTTGAGTGCTTAGCCAAAGATTAATGTTCTTAGATGCCGCTGAGTCAGTTTTGACTCATAGGGACAGCCTGTGACAGAGCACAAGTGCCCTATAGGGGTTTTTTTGGCTGTAATCTTTACAGAAGCAGATCACCAGGTCTTTCTCCTGTGGAGCTGCTGGGTGGGTTGGAACCTCCAACCTTTTGGTTAGTAGCTGAGCGCTTAACTGTTGCATCACTAGGGCTCCTTAAAAAAAAAAAGAGATGGGTAAGAGCCCTGGTGGCCAAGAAAACTCCGTGAGGCAGTTCTACTATGTCCCATGGGGTTGCTAGGAGTTAAAAAATGGCTGCACATGTATGCACACCTGTGTTCACTGCAGCACTGCTCACAATAGCAAAAAGATAGACACAACCTAAGTGCCCATCAACTGATGAACGGATAAACAAATTATGGTACACACACACACACACACAATGGAATATTATGCAACCATAAAGAACAATGAATGAGTCCACAAAATATAAAATGGATACACCTAGAGGGCATAATGCTAAGTAAAATAAGTCAATCACATAAGGCCAGCTATTGTATGATCCAACTTTTATATAAGAAGACAAGAATAGATACATATGTAGAGACCAATGTTCATTGGTGGTTATCAGGGAAGGGGAGGGGACAGGGTCTCATGCTCTGTATCGTAGATGCTTGTTATTTTTGGTGATGGGTAAAGTAGCACCAAATGTGGGTGTAGTGAGCACAGCCTGACCAAAGTAATCCCATGTCACTAAAAAGTGCTCAAGAGAAAAAGATGTTTGTACTAAAGAATTTGACATACATAGTTTAGCAACAACACCAACAATGACCAAAAAATGAGTGTATGAACACGCATGTATGTAGAAAGGCATATAGGTATAGGGGTAGGTACAGGTGTATGCATATGTGTGCACAGATAGAAGTACCTACACCATATTTTTACGCCTTCTATGTTTGTCTGCTGACCGTGCCCTCCCCGCCCCGAGGTATTTTCGTAAGTGCGCTATGCTTAATTTTTTTTTACAGTAACATATAAAAAAAAATTGCCACGTTGGCACTTAGGAAAATACCTCATGGGAGGAGGGCGCGGTTGGCAAACAAGTGTAGAAGGTGTGTGTTATTTGCACAAAAAAATGGTATGCATGTGTAAGTACAGAGAGTGTGTGTGCAGGCACATATATTCACGGAAGACACAATTACAGGTACTTCTCAGACACAACCAAACACCTTGTGAGACTGGTCTTCTAGGTTTGAAGGCTTAAGACTTTAGTCTCACGGGACAACTCAGTCAACTGGCGTAACGTAGTTCACAAAGTTCATGTTCTGCATTCTAGCGAAGTGAGTAGCTTCTGGAGTCTTAAAACTTGCAAGCAGCCATCTAAGATACAACTAATGGTTCCTACTCATCAGGAACAAAAAATTAAGAAGGAAACCAAAGTCTCAGAGAAAAAACTAGTCTACAGGGCTAATAGCTTACATGAGCCAAGGCCTCATCTACCCTGAGACCAGAGGAACTAGATAGTGCCCGGCTACCACTACTGACCATTCTGATCAGGGCCACAATAGACGGACCCTATTAGAAGGGGAGAAGAATGTGGAACAGAACTCAGATTCTTAAAAAGTCCAGACTAACTGGACCAGTTGAGACCAGGGGACTCCCTGAGACTATTGCCCCGAGATGATACCTTTTTTTTTTTCATGATTATGGGGTTTATTAGGGAAGTAACAGATTACAGTTCAGCTTTAGGAATGCTCAGAATACAATTCTTCCACCATGACAGCCGTGTTCACAGGCATGCCTCTCTCTGGCCCCTCGGCCTCTGCCCTGCTTGGGTAAGTGTTACAAAGCTCTTTTAGCTCTGTTGATAAGTGCCATGAGGTACCCTACTCCACTAGTAAGCCTCGGCCCAAAGGTGCTCAGTTCTAGCTCCATGGGTAGACAAACTTAGCTCCACCAAGTGCCCGGAAGCACCCTACTCCTCCAGCAGGCCCCCTGCCCAAAGGCATTCAGCTTTCTTGCTCTGTGGGCCAGGAAGCTCCTGCCGGTCTCTCTTGCCACCGTTACTCTGCCACCGCTTCCTGCTGTCTTCAGTATTACAGCTCTCTCTCTGCGTCTCCCGGTTCCAGGTGCTTCTCAGTGCAGAGATCCCGGGTCCAAAGGACACGCTCTGCTCCTGGCTGTTCTCCCTTGGCAGTGGTGGAATCCTCCCTTTCCCTCCTCTAGGGTGGCTCATGTCAAGCTCAGTGGGATGGCAAAACTGACCAATCCCGTTGGTGGGCCATAGCTACCCTATCTGCATAGTCCCACCCAATCACTGGGGTGGGAGTTACAAGAGCATGGTGAAGAAGGCCACGCAAAAGAGATCCACGGCACCTCAGCACTCAACTACTAACCTCAAGGTTGGCAGTTCTGTGACCCTAATACTTCCCAGCGTGTTTTCTCCTTTTCAAAATGGGTGACTGAGAGCCTGACAGAACCAACGCCATGATGAACCTCTAAGTTTCTGTTTTCTTTGCCTTCTCCTTCTCGCATACTTTTGTTAACGACTTTGTTTTGCTCCGTCCGGCCACCTGTGACTTACTACCCCCCACAGGAAGATCAGAGCCCAGATGTCAGATATTATCTTTAGCCTGATAAGGAGATGTCTGGCATGTATCTCTTTAGTATGAAAAGTCTCTTGTAATTACCTGGTAATGAATAACGACACTTCTAACCTTTGTAAAAATCGTATATAAACTCTAACGTAGAAATGCCTTTTGGGACTCCATAGAGACAGCCTGCGTTGCTATTGGATCCCTGGTGGTGGCCACCTCCTAAATAAACTACCTCACTCTTTCTGACTTGGAGTACGTTTCATTGCTCAACTGCTCCAGGGCATGGATCCTAACTGGGCAACAGTTCAAACCCATGCAACAGCACCACAGAAGAAAGGACTGGTGGTCGACTTCTGTAAAGATCACAGCCAAGAAAACCCTATGGAGCACTGTTCCATTCTGTAAAACACATTGAGTCGGAACTGACTTGATGGCAATGGGTTTGATTTTTTTAATTTGGATTTTCTGTATCTTTGGTCCATTTAGGTTTTAATGCGTTTGAAGCCAGGCACTGGAGCTGCGTGACCTGCAGGTCTGTGACCTGCAGCCCTTCAGTCAGCAGTTCCCCTGCCCCTCTGTCCTCCAGACCCCAGCAAACATCAACAGACTTGGAATGAGGAGGAACAAAGAGTGGATGTGACATGCAGGAAGGGGCGGGTGGGGTCCTCCAAGTCCTTAGAAAGCAACCCCATCCCAATGGCTGGCTCAGGGCAGGGGCAGCAAGCCCCCTTGGCTGTTTCTAACAGAGAAGGGAATGGCACTGACACTCAAGGATGCTGGAAGCAGGGAGAAGTGGCTCAAAGGAGAAGCGAAATTACCAGCTGTTGGGGGAGACTCACACTTTCCTTCACTTTTGAGATACTCTTTAAACCCTGAACCGAAACTATCCCAAGGTCACCTTTTAGCAAAATAACAGAGCGACACACAAAGGATATTATCCGACACACAAAGGATATTATCCGTAAGCACAGGGCTTCATTAAAAAAAACATCTCCATAAGACCAAAGGTCAACAATTTCTCTAAAGCAAAGATAAGGGGGCAGGGAAACTAGAGTATGGGAAACGGAACAACCAGAATGCAATTAAAGAGAATGTTGGCACATTGTGAAAAATGGAATCAATGTCACTGAACAATCTGTATAGAGATTGTCAGTTGGGAACCTAATTTACTGTGTAAACTTTCACCAAAACACAATATTATTTAAAAAATGACTGGACAAAACCAGATTAATAGCCATACAGATTTTTCTGGCTAAAAGAATTTAAGCCACTAGAAGAAGTTGAGCAGGGGCTTAGTGTGACTTGGTCCATGGCCGCATCTTTCAAGTTGCTGAATAGTTCAAAGTCATGGAGGCAGTGGACTCCTCTTCCTCCTAGCACACCTGGCTCATTCCAGGAGACTGGCACTCTCTCAATCTCTTCCCTCCCCCACCCCCTAATCAGGTGCTTTTTAAAATCTAAAAAAGCAAAGATGTCACTTTGATGACTAAGGTGTGCCTGACCCAAGTCATTGTATTTTCAATCACCTCATATGCATGCGAAAGCCGGACGATGAATATGGAAGATTGAAGAAGAATAGATGCCTCTGAAACATGGAGCTGGGAAGAATACTGAATACCCCAGGGCCGGCCAGAAGAGCAAACAAGTCTGTCGTGGAAGAAGTACAGCCAAAATGCACCTCAGAAGCGAGGATGGAGAGACTTTGTCTTACATACTTTGGACATGTTATCAGGGGGGACCAGTCCCTGGAAAAGGACACCATGCTTGGTAAAGTAGAGGGTCTGCAAAAAAGGACGACCCTCAATGAGATGGATTGACACAGTGGCTGCCACAATGGGCTCAAACATAGCAACAATTGTGAGGATGGCGCAGGACCGGGCAGTGTCACGTTCTGTTGTACATGGGTCGCTATGAGTCAGAACCGACTTGACGTACCTATTACCGCTACCAGGTGTTCCGTATCCCAGAGCCCGCCCAGCTCTCTGCTGGAGACCATCACTCAAGCATTAGGGTTTCAATCCTCTGCGACTCAAAAATAAGAGGCCACATTTGCTGAGCTAAATTCTCTCTTTATTAGGAAAGCACCAACACCACACTCTTGGAAATTACTGGAATTTTATTTGCCTCAGGCTTATGAGTTGCAACCAAAGACTTTGTGCAAAGAAAGCAAAGATTAAGTACACTTTAGGGAGGAGGAGACGATACACATTGGTAACAGAGGAGATCAGGTGGACAAAGGAAGTCATCCAGTACACTATATAGATTGCAATATTCAATAGCGTTTTCAATAAAACTTTTTTTGTTTAAATCAAGAGCAAAATATTAAGCAATGTTTACAGTAGACATAAATCTTATACAATTCAAAAAGCATTTCTTTTTCAGATCATAGAGGAAAAAAGGAAAAAAAAAAAAGTATATGCAGGTGAAATCTACCTACTGTACATTGACCACTTATTAAAGTTGCTTATACGCACCACAGTGTAAAAAACAAAACAAAACAAAAATAATACCGAGCAAATAAAAACCTCGAAAATTGCCTGATGAAAAATAAAATAACCAGTGGCTTTTAATGGCTTCTCCTGGTTATCAGTGCTACAAAAAGACAAAAATCTTCTCATCTCAACAGATGATAAAACCAGGCAGTCAAACCATAACCAAATCAGACCCAACCCATAGAAATATACTATCCACCCACATATTTCCCATCAAAAGCTTTTTTGTTTGTTTTAATCTTTGAATCTTTGAGGCCCATTTGGTCACAGTATCTTACAAATATTTGTGTGTGCGTTTGTGTGTGTGCGCGCTTTTTTTTACACCATGATAACATATGTTTGTCTGGTACTATCCTAAAGCTAGTTTATAGATGATGATAATATAGAAATGGCCCAGAGACCATAGGACAAAAGGAACTCACTGGGTCAAAATGAGAGAGAGGAGGGAGGAACTCAGTCCTACCAAGGAAAAAAAAGGTCCCCGGCGATCACTCATCATCAGTCGCACTTGCTTCTGACTGTTCCTAAAATAAAATAAAACAGAATAAGATAAAATCGTATTTCATGAAAAGAAGGCATGATAAACTATCAAGTGGCAAAGTAGAAAAAAAGAAATGGCATTTTGGAAACAGTTAACCTTCCAAGCTCCTTCATTCCACGGGAAGACGGAAAGACCCCAAAGCGGCACCGTCCACCTCTAAACTGAAAGAGGAGGTCCTAATTGGAAATCCCAAAGTGATACCCACAGTCTATGCTAGGGTTTCACTCTTTCACTCTGGCCTGAAAGGTTTATGGATAATTGACAGGGAGTGAAGTTGGCTGCTGCTGTTGGTTAGTTGCTGTTTTGTTGCTTTCTACTCATAGCCACCCCACGTAACAGAGTGGAACTGCCCCAGAGGGTTTTCTAGGATGTAATCTTTATGGGAGCAGATTAACAGGTCTTTCTCCCTTGGAGCTGCTGGGTGGGTTTGAACTGCCAACCTCTCGGTTAGCAGCCGAACGCTTAACCATTTGTAACCAACAGGGCTCCTGGATTGAACTGTAACCCCCCAAAATATGTGTTGGAATCCTAACATATATACCTGTGGATGTGAGCTAATGCAATGTAATGACTTTCCATAATGCAATCTAATGTTATGTAATGAGCCCTGACCAGCGTAGGGTGTGTCCTAAACCTAATCACCTCTGAGTTATGAGGAGAAGCACAGAGACAAGAGAACACAAATGCAGTAAGACAGATGCCACATGAAGATTGCCAAGGAATGGAGGAACGCTGGGGCTACAAAAGCTGAAAGAGGCAAGGACCTAGAGCTGACAGAGAGAGAGAGCACGCCTTCCCTTAGAGCTGATGCCCTGAATGTGGACCTGCAGCCTCCTGAACAGTGAGAAATTAAATTTCCATTCTTTAAAGCCACCCACATGTGGTGTTTCTCTTACAGCAGCACTAAGTAACTAAGACAGTAATAATTGCTATTTTTTAGCACTATGTTTTAGAAGATTCACATGAGAAAAGCAAGCCACGCATTTGACGTCTTCTCAGTGGTCAGTCTTCTCAAGTCAACACAACATTCTAAATGTATTTCAAAATGCTTGTCGTAAGGGTTAAGGCTGGAGTGGAGTGATGATTTTGAAACTTTCCCGCCAGGCCAAAATGGCAATGTGTTGAAGGCAAAAACAAACTAGCATGCATACTAAAAGGCAAGATGATCTTTCCAGAAAGGAAAAGATAGGGAGGTACGTGGCAGGGGACCTGTGCTCCTCTGGAAGGTGAATGGAATGCAGGGTCCTCCAGACGGCATGGTACTGGAAGTTCCTGCTGGCATTTCTACCTTGTCGCCCAAACAGTTAACAATGGCATGCTAGACTGAATTATGCTATTTGGGACTAAACTCAGCCTCTGCCATTGACTTGCTACATGACCGGGAACAAAACACACACAACCTAATATCAATTTCCCATTTGCAATATCTTGAGACTGACATCTATCTCCCGAAGCTAATGTAAGCATTAAATATGACAACACACAAGAAGGTACCCATATCAGGGCCTGCCTCAATAAGTGTTTCATGACTTTCCAAATACTAAAAATAACACCTCTATGAGGAAATCAAATACATGTATGGCTGCCTCCATGAGCAACTGCCTCCTCTGCCATGAGGCCAGAACTTGATGGTGGCTGGCTATCATTACTGAACATTTTGAACAAAGATTCTATAGAAGAATCTTGATCAAAAGGGGGAAAATGTGGAACAAAATTCATAAAACAGTTTCAAATTTTCAATGGAATGCAGACTTTCTGAAGCCACTGAACCCCCAAAACTAATACGCTGAGATAATGTTTAAAACTTTACACTTTAAACCCAAACTATCCCCTGAAGGCTTCTTTGAACCAAAAAATAGCTTATCTTAATTAGTAAAGTATGTCTGCTTTGAGTATTATGCTATTTTAAAGAATTATCTATGAGAGATCAAATGGACAGCAGCAACTTGAAAGGTTGGATGGGAAGCTTAGGGGGCCGTGAGTTGAAGATAATGGTGATGGAATAATGTGGAAAAGGACAGCAAGACTGGTAGCATGACTTGAAGAATGTAACCACCATCGCTGAAATGTAGAAATTGTTGAAATGGTGTATCTTTGGCTGCGTATACTTCCATCAAATAAATAAATAAACAACTCCTCTAGGGGTTCATTTGGATTTTTTGTCCAGCACTTTAAGCACCAACTCAAGTCAAAAACCCTGACACCATAACGCTTTTTCTCATTCCTCCATCTAATCGTTATATACCGCTGCACGCTAGGCACTGTGCTGGTGCTAGGGATGTAAAATATTCACTGACCACGGAGAAAAATATATTTGTAAGTAAGTGTGTGGGAAAATAAAATAGGGAACTTGATTTAGTATTCTTTCATTTTTGAAGTCTATTTAAAAAAAAAAAAAAAAAAGCAATAAACAAGGCCCAACATTCTTGGTTATAAATCACACAGCTTCGCCCAACTCCCTCTGTAAAGAAATTTCAACAAACTTTATATTTTCATTCCTGGGCAACAAGGCAGCCCAGTTAGGAAGGATCTGGAGACAAGACAGGGAAAAGAGATAGCAGACGGGGCCTCTGCGCTCAGTCGAGCGGCCACACTCACATTCTCATCCTGCTCTTCATCACTGTCGAAATCGCTCACAACGGGTTTGGCTTTTCCTCGATTCGGCCTTTTCTTGCCTTTTCCTTTATCCCGTCCTTTCTCATCTTTTTTGTTGAGCTTGATTTTCACCTTAACAGATTTCGCTGTAAAGAAACAAACCAGACACCAGTGAGGAATCACAGGGAAATCTTTTTAACCAAAACCAGTTGCTGTCAAGTGAGTCCATCCTGACTCCTGGAGACCCCGTGTGTCAGAGGAGAACTGTGCTCCACAGGGTTTTCAGTGGATGATTTTTTGGAAGCAGATCGCCAGGCCTTTCTTCCCATGCACCTCTGGGTGGGCTTGAACCTCCAACCTTTGGAGTCAGTAGTCCAGTGTATGAACCATTTGCACCACCCAGGGACTCCATGCCAAAGAAGAGATAGGTGGCATCGACAGCAATTTGGTAGAAAACGTATATTGTTGTTAGGTGCTGTCCAGTCAATTCCAACTCATAGCAACTCCATGTGATACAGTAGAACTGCCCCATAGGGTTTCCTAGGCTGTAATCTTTGCAAGAGCAGATCGCCAGGTCTTTTCTTCCACAGAGCCACGGGGTGGGCTCGAACCATCAACCTTTGGGTTAGCAGCCAAATGCTTAACTGTTGAGCCACCGGAGTGCCTTAGAAAACGTACACAACACTGATGATATTCAAAGGCACCATTCAGTGGGTGTTTGCTATGAGCCTGGCCCTGTGCTAAGGCCTTCACCTGCTCAGAGGTCCTTTTATCGCCCCAGTATCACAGAAGGAGCCCTGGGGTGGAACAATGGTTAAGCACTTGGCTACTAACCGAAAGGTCAGTGGTTCAAACCCACTAGTGGCTCCACGGGAGAAAGACCTGGCAATCTGCTCCTGTAAAGATGACAGCCTAGGAAATTTACGGGGCACTTCTACTCTATCGCATGCAGTTGCTATGAGTGAGACTCCACTGGATGGCACATAATAATTACAGATGAGAAAACCGAGCAAGGGCACCGTCAAGTCCAGCAAGGACATGTTGATAAGGACTTGAGCCCAGGTCAGCCTGACTCTACACTCTGTTCTGTTAGGGTCTGTGGAAGCATCCATGCAGGCAGGAAGGGGCACAGAAATGGAAGCAGCAGACATCTGGGCTTACCCTCAGACTCAGACTCCTCTTCATCCTCCTCTTCCTCCTCCTCATTGCTTTCATCTTCGCTCTCTTCCTCTTTGGCGATTTTCTGCCGGGCACTTTTAAACACTGACTGCAAGACAATGGAGTCTTCGTAGATCTAAAGGGTTAAAATGACATCTCTTAAAAAGGCAAGCCAAGGGCCAAGGTTTTCCAGCACAGCGAGCTCTTATTTTATTTCATCTGCTATTGTTGTTGAGAATGTAGACAGCAAAACATAAACCATTTCAACAGTTTCTTTTTTGGCTTAAAACAACAGAAAATTATTCTCTCTCAGTTCCCACAACACACACCGTACAACTCACCTGTTTAAAGTGTACAATTCAATGTTTGTTTTTTTAAAACAATTATTTTATTGTGGTAAAAACATATGTAACAAAACATTTGCCAATTTGATATTTTTTACTTGTACCATTTAGTGACATCAATTACATTCTTCTAGTTGTGCAAGCATTCTCAGCCTCCTTTTCTAAGTTGTTCCTCCCCCTATTAAACATAAACTCACTGCCCTCTAAGGTTCTTATCTTTCAAGTTGTTGTTGTCAATTTGATCCTATATAGGTAGATCTTAAAAGAGCATAATGCTCAAGGTAGACTTTTTTTTTTTACTAAATAAATGAAACTACTATTTGGTTTAAAAAAGACTTCAGGGAGTATTTTTGGTTTAAGGATTATCTCAGGGCAGTAGTTTCAGGGGTTCATCCAGCCTCAGTGGTTCCAGAAAATCTGGATTTCAACAGAACTTGAAATTCTGTTCCACATTTCCCCCTTTTGATCAGGATTATGCTATAGAATCTTTGATCAAAACAGCATGCTCTTCTTATATAACTCACCAGCTTTAGTTCACATGAGTTTTAGTAGAAAAGTCAATGCTAGCTTTTATTGCCTACATGAAAACCCAATAGCAAAACCCCAAACCCAGATCTAGATACACATATTCTTATAGGAAAAAGAAGTCCATATGTAGTTGAAGTATTTTCAAAGTGTGTGTGGGTGTGTGTGTTTGGGGATGGAGGGTGAACCTTCATAACATATCCACTCATCACTGGTAACAAAAATAGTATTAAAAAAGCCTCTACGTTTCTTCTTTGAATTATTCTATCAAATACTCTAGTAATACTATATAGTAAAGTAACCTTTAAAATGCAATTCCTCAAACAAAATGGAGGCTCTTTGCTAATTAGAAAGTTTATCACTACCAGCAAATATGCATCCATTCGCCCCTTTATTTTTAGGCACGTGTCTAGGCATAGCCCCGCATAGGTGCTGAGAGAGATACACAGTTCAAAACTGGTCCCTGCTAAGATTGTGTTCCTTATTGTGAAGATGAGCCTCTGCTCGAGAAAGTGACCAGGCAACCTGTGGCAAGCACTGAATGAACGTTGATGGGCAGCTGAGTACAATCAGAGAAGAAAGCGCCTGGGAGAGTGTTGTGGGGTGGGGCAACGGGGCAGAACTTCCCCAAGACATCAGAGTTGAGTTGAATCTCAAAGCTGAGGAGGATTCCATCGGGTGGTGAGGAAGGAGAGAGAAATGAGAAAGGGGAACAAGTGAGAGGTGGGGAGGCAAGAACAAAAAAGATGCACTGGGATTGGCAATGTCAATTTCTTGGTTGTGGAATTACACTGTCGTAATGCAAGACATGAAGGTCCCTAGGTGCTGCAAATGGTTTGCACTTGACTGCGAACCTAAAGTTTGGTGGTTCAAACCCACCCAGCAGTACTGCAAAAGAAGGGCCTGGCGATCTGTTCCCATGAAGATTACAGCCAAGAAAACCCTATGGAGCAGTCTACTCTGTAACACATGGGGTCACCAAGAGTCAGAATCAACTTGATGGCACCTAACGACAACCACATGCAAGATATTACAATCTTGGGAAGATGCGAAAGGTGCACGGGATCTCTCTGTATTATTTTTTGCAACTGCATCTGAATCTACAACTCTCTCAAAATGACAGAGTTAAAAAAAAATTGCATCTGGTGCAGCAGATGTGTATGGGACCAGCCTGACTGGACCAGGATTTGTTTAGGCTGAGGAGTTACAGGAGAAGAAGCTAAAGAGTAAGGCTGCTGTTGTTAGGTGCCGTCAAGTCGGTTCTGACTCATAGCGACCCCATGTACAACAGAACGAAACACTGCCCAGTCCTGCGCCATCCTCACAATTGTTGTTATGCTTGAGCCCTTTGTTGCAGCCACTGTGTCAATCCATCTTGTCGAGGGTCTTCCTCTTTTTCACTGACCCCCCTCTACTTTAGCAAGCATGATGTCCTTCTCCAGGGACTGATCCCTCCTGACAACATGTCCAAAGTATGTGAGACGAAGTCTCACCATCCTTGCTTCCAAGGAGCACCCTGGCTGTATTTCTTCCCAGAGTAAGGTTTGGGTCAAAAAAAAAAAAAACAGTTGTGGTCAAGTCGATTCCAACTCCTGGAGACCCCCTGTGCGTCAGAGTAGAACTGTGCTCCACAAGGTTTTCAAAAAACGCTGGTTTTTCAGAAGTAGATCAGCAGGCCTTGCTTCCTCTGGTTGGCCTCCAACCTCCAACTTTTGTTACCAAGCAGGTTAACCATTTGTACCATCCAGGGACTCCCAGGTTAGGGTACAACTTTAGAAAACAGTTTACAGACATTAAATTTATTCTATATAGTATATGAGGGGACCTGAGATGTTTGGGGGGCGGGCAGTAAATGAACAGGATAAGATGGATGTTTAGAGAAAGAAACTGAAAGATGGAACGGACCTGGAGGGAAACCAGCCAGGAGACTATGCATCACCCCATTTCAGTTGTGAGACAGTGAGAAAGTAGACAGGTAGAGGGACTGTGGGTCTGGAAATGGAGTAGATGTATATCATGGTTAATAATGTGGCACTGATATAAAGAATCAAAAAATCTACCCAGAGACAAAAATAGTAATCATTTACAAAAGGCTTCTTTGCTGACACTTCTACTTAAGTGTCTAAGACCTGGCTTTCGTCTGAACTTTCCCAGAGGAGTGTCTCCAAAACAGAAGGCCTGCTTGCGAAGTCTACTGTTTTGCGTAGGATAACACTGTTAATAACTGCAATGAACCTGGAAATGCGGTCTGTTACAGGCACACTCTGAGGATGCCCCCGTTCCCCAATCTGGTGCCTGGGACTGACGTGAAAGCAAAGAGCAAGACCGTGAAGGAGGCTTAAGGAATTTAATGGCAGCTTCATGCTGCGTTTGCTGGAAAACACAATGTCTTGTCGTCTTCTTCTTCCTTCTTCTTTAGGCCAGAAAGACAACCAACAACTTGAGGCCTTGGAGCCGACTCCGACTCATGGCGCCCCTGTGCGTGTCAGAGTAGAACTATGCTCCGTAGGGTTTTCAATGGCTGATCTTTTAAAAACAGACCGCCAGGCCTTTTTCCTGAGGCACCTGAGTGGACTTGAACTTCTAACCTTTTGGTTGGCAGCAGAGAACGTTAACCATTTGCACCACCCAAGGACTCCATAGGCCACAAATAGAGAGAGGGAACGGGAGTTCCTATGAAAGGTCAGTGTAACTGAGGTGTAAATCCAGTGTCACTTGCTTAGGCTTATTAACTGTGGATGAGAGGAGTAAAATGAGTTACAATCAGCCTGATAAGAAGAATTTTTTCTTTAAGCAATTAGAGGCAGTGGCTTTTTTCTATATTTTGTTTTGTTTTAAATCATAGTAGTTTCGAATCCTGATGCAAGGTTGCAATCAGAAAAACGAAGGTAAACAATCAAATAGGTCCTCTCTGTAAAGGCAGAAACTGTGCCGCCAATCTTCAGGCATCACCTTATAGGTTTTAATTGAATTCCTCTAATGAGAAGCCAAGCCTTTAAGGGAAATGTGAGCAGGAGCTAGAACAGCTATGGTAAGAGGACCTGATGTTAATTTGAAAATGCCAAAGCTTCAATTTATATCCACGGGTAGCATGGAACATGGGCTTTTTTCCCTTTTTCTTCTGCCAGGGTAGTAGCGGTGACTGAAGGGGTGGAAAAGGAAACATCTTCCTTAAAAGGACAGCAAAAAACAGAAAAACAAACCCACGGCCATTGAGTTGATTCCAACGCACAGCAACCCTAGAGGACAGAGTACAAGTGCCCCACAGGGTTTCCAAGGCTCTAAGTCTTTACCCAAGCAGATCGCCACCGTGGAGCAGGTGGGAGTTTCGAACACCAGACCTTTTGGGTTAGCAGCTGAGTGCTTAACCACTGCGCCACCAGGGCTCCTTTAGAAGAACACAGGCACCTTTTGAGTTAGAGACTTTGAAGGCAATGCAAGACAGACCTGGGAGCCCTCCAAATTGAAGGTCTGAGCGTTGTGGCAGAGAAGCATGACGTCCTTCTCCAGGTCACCCAGGCTCCGGTACTTATGATTACGAATTCTCTCCTAGAAGAAATTGGGAAGGAAACAGAGACAGAGGAGGATGAGAAAATGCAAACGTCACTGCTCGGTTAACAAAGCCTGATTTTCCCATTTGTCTCACGACCTACCACTATCCTGGGGGCGTGGGGCTTCAACTCCAGGGAGGGCTCTCACAAAGAACCCCCTCCCTTTAATGTTCCTTCCTGTGGGGTGGGGGGAGGAAGGAGCGTATGACGGGAGACAGGAAGAACAACGGGGAGAAAGTCTGAAACCTTCAATCAAATGCAATACGTTATAAGAGCTCTCAACATCATGATTAAATGTCATACACGTAAAGGCACAAGGTGATCCCAACCCTCCATGGTAAACCCCGGTGGGTGTCACTGGCGGTCAGACACAACCCCGCCGACAACTCCCAGTCAGAACCGTTTCAATGGATCTGCCATTTAAAAAAAAAAAAAAAAAGTTTGTAAATAAAATATCTACCTTTATTTTTTTGAAATCCACGGGCTTCCTAATTAATTCATAGTATTCTGGTAATTCTTTCCTTGATGGTAACTGAATGAAGACCTCGCTGAGCTGCCGCCCTGAACTGTGGGGTGGGGGAAACACACAGAAACAACACAGATCAAGCACTGCTCAGGGGAGGGCGTTCTTTCCAGAAAATGCCAATGAAGCAAATTACGACCCACACATACAGACATAAAATCAGTTGCTGTCGAGTCGACTCTGGCTCATGGTGGCCCCAAGTGTGTCAGAGTAGAACTGTGCTCCACAGGGTTTTCAATGGCTGATTTTTGGAAGTAGATCGCCAGGCCTTTCTTCTGAGGTGCTTCTGGGTGGACTTGAACCGCCAACCTTTAGGTTTGTCATCCACGGTTTGCACCACCCAGGAATTCCACAGACAGGGATGGGGCTCTTCTAATCGAGGAAAATCCCACAAATATACTGGAGATCAGTGTCCCTGGTGCTACCTTCAAAGTCACAGTAAAATGCCATTAGGGCCCCACCTCTGTCACACATGTGATATGCAAACTCCACTGTGCATCGATTTCTCCTTCAGAGCAAAGGTACAGTTTCATTTTGATAGAAATACTGAAAATATCTATTCAACCAAAATCACATTTTGAAATGAGTAATAATCAAATTGGTAGAATAAAACACAGAGACTCGAGTCCCATACTACTTTGTCCTTAAATTCACTCTGCAGAGAGGAAGTCATTCAAAACAATACGCTAGAATATACTCTGGAAATGCAATCGAGAAGCTTCTGCATGGATCTGGGGATGTGCCTATTTTTCCGGTTCTATTCCTTTTAGAGAGTTTTCCCCGCTGGAAGCCACACACGTACCTTGATTATCATATGCCAGAGGAACCCCTCCTCTCGCCTAACTGCGCTGCTGTGTGTTTGGAGCACAAAAAAGAGCAAACATATTAAGCGAGTGCAGGTGCCCCCTGTCCCAGGGATTAGGACTGTCCCTTCCCCCATCATGGGGTGTTTCTCTGAAGGCAGGTTTAATAGCCACAAATGCTTAGCATTCTTCAATCGTGAGACATTGGCTAGAAAGCGACAACACAAGCTTTTAACATCACTCAGAACTGGCAGCAGACAGGGCTAAAGGAACAAAGATATTCATAATTCAGGTGCAAGAGCCTAATACTAGCCTTGCATTATCCAGATCAATAACAGCTTGTCAGCGAGGGTAGAGCCATTTTTCACAAAAACCTCGCTCCTCTTAAGATGCCACCTCCACTTCGTCAAGCCAGAAACGGCACAAAAAATAACCCCAAGTCACTGCCGTGTACACTTCCAAAGGCGATTCTGGGAGGGTGCAAGAATGCGCCAAGGCAGTGGCACGGTTTGAGCGACAGTATGCTGTTTTAATCCGCCGTCCCAGTTGGATAATTAAAAAATAATCATAATGACAGTTATCATAAAAAAGGCATGCGCAGTAACTCACATGGTTGCCTAGCAACTGGTGGGGAACATGCCGAAGTGCAAAGGGGCTGCATAAATTAGCCGGAAACCCTCTGTTGAAGGCATGGGCGGGTTTTTCTGCTACGCTGGGTCACTCACTGTTTTATTTTTTAATGCGTACATGGGCCTCATGAATACTAAAATTGGGGGGAACGAGAGGTTTGCGAAGACCGCAGTTTTCTAGGGAATGGATTTTTCCATTATGGTGACAGGAACCAAGGTTCTCTCTTACCACCCCCCACCAACACCCCCCTACCTTTCCAGGGGGAGAAACGCATTCATCCCTCCATAAATTATACCCCGGAGTATGTGACAAAAGCTATTTTGTTTACTGTCATCTTGGACACAGGAACATGGTTTCTGGACCATTCTTTTTCTAACCTTTCTGAGATTTCTATAAGCAAACATTTCACCTGTTTGAAGATGAACATCTGAAAGGCAATGCGGGGAATGCGCAGATTTCAGTTTTTTATTTCTATCAGTGACTCCCTGATAATCAGCACTCCTTAACTTAGCATCAACCCAAAGTCAGACCCCTTGGTAATCCTCGATTCAACACCTGACCCTCAAGGACATCTTCACGGTGTCATTTTCCGCATTGCCAACAGATGGTGTCATTTTTCTATTGACGGATTACAGGCACATCTTTGCTTTGTATACCTGTGATGGGCATACTCTTAATTTCAACTGTGCTGTCGTTGGTAGGTGCAGTAGAGTTGGTTACGACTCATAGCAACCCCGTGTGACAGAGCAGAACTGCCCCATAGGGTTTCCTAGGCTGTAATCTTTATGCGAGCAGATTGCCAGGTCTCTTCTCCTGCAAAGCCACTGGGTGGGTTTGAACTGCCAACCTTTCGGTTAGCAGCCGAGCACTTAACCATTATACCACCAGGGCTCCTCTCAACTGTGCTACTAGTGAAATAAGCAGTTTGGAGCCACTTGGAGCCCTGGTGGCGCAGTGGTTAAGAGCTCAGCTACTAACCAAAAAGTTGGCAGTTCAAACTCACAGCTGCTCCTTGGAAAACCTGTGGGGCAGTTCCACTCTGACCTATAGGGTCGCTATCGGAATCAACTCCACAGCAATGGGTTTTGTTTGTTTTTTGTTGGGGCCATCTAAGATACAACTATTTGTCTCTACTTGTCTGGAACAAAAGAGACAGAAGGAAACCAAAGACTCAGAGAAGAGAGTAGTCTACAGGACCGACAGTAGGCATGAGCTATGGCCTCATCTACCCTGAGACCAGAAGAACTAGATGGTGCCCGGCTACCACTACTGACCATTCTCATCAGGACCACATTATACGGATCCACAGAATGGGAGAAAAATGTGGAACAGAACTTAAATTCTTAAAAAGTCCAGACTTACTGGACCAGTTGAGACTAGAGGACTCCCCGAGACTATTGCCCTAAGTTACTCCTTAAACCTTAAACTGAAATTATCCCTTCAGGTCACCTTTTAGCTAAATAACAGATTGGCTCATAAAATAAAGAATATCACCCATGAGTAATGAGTGTCCTTAAAAAACAATCAACTATAAGAGACCAAATGGTCAAAAACGACTCTAAAGCAAAGATGAGAAGGTAAGGGGGTAGGGAAACCAGAGCACTGAAAATGGTACAACCAGAACGCAATGAATGAGAATAATGACACATGGTGGAAAATGTACCCAACATCACTTAATAATTTGTGTAGAAATTGTTAAATGGAATCTAATTTACTGGATAAAGTCTCACCTTAAACACAGTTAAAAAAAAAAAAGAAGTGACTTGGGCCAATGAAGTGAGAGAGTTTTCTAACAAGGGCCGGAACGGTCACAACAGTCTTGGTCTGACGTCTTCCTCCTCAGCCCTACAAATTCTAGACCCTATAAGAAGGCAAGTCCAGAGTCATCTTTGCTCATAAAGAAGAGAGCTGAATGTTCGGAGGCTCTGCGTCAATACCGTAAAATGAGAAACAAACGTACACTGTTTGGAAAATAAAGGCTCACTGCATGTCATCTTCCCCTCCCACTTCCTATTTCCCCTCCTAAGAACAGGCTGTTGTTGTCAGCTGCTGTCAAGTCAGCCTCCAAACTCTTGGAGACCCTGTGCACAATGGTTTCGAGACTATTGTGATCCACTTCGGGGCAGAATTCTTGCCTTCCACGTTGGAAACCTAGGTTCAATCCCCGGCCAACGCGCCTCATGCGCAGCCACCACCTGTCTGTCAGTGGCAGCTTATGTGTTGCTCTGATGCTGAACAGGTTTCAGCATAGTTTCCAGACTATGCTAGACTAGGAAGAAAGGCCTGGTGATCGACTTCAGAAAAATCAGCCAACGAAAACCCTAAGAACAGGAGAATGGGCAAAAGGATCTGGATACTAACTGAGAGGTCTTCTTGTGACTGTTGGTTTTTTTAACTTTATTCAAACTTCTCAGTCTGGCTTTCAAAGCCCTCCAGGATATGTCTCCACCCTCTGCAAAATATTGTGTCCTCCTGACCTTCTGCTCTTCTAATAAGGAAAGCCTCGCTCCTGTGGACCCCCAAGTACCCTGGCCAATTCCCCGTTCTATGACCCATGCCAGGTCTCTAAGCCTAACCCATCTCATACCCTATAACTGGAAGGTTCTCTATCCTTCTTCCCCTTCAAATATTTCATTGTCCATCCAAGATCAAGAACTCACCCCCATAAGAATGGAAAAAACTCCCCTAAATAATAACGATACTTACTCTCAATACTACACTGTTCAGAACTTAATGCTTCTATGTATGGGGATCTTTCTCCTTCCCCAAAGGGTGGCGAGTATTCTACCTGCAGTCAAAACCCTTCCCCCATAAAATGCAGAACAGAATTTCAAATTCTTATGGAAGCCAGACTGCCAGGAGCCACGGAGGCTGGGTGAACCCCCAAAACTACTGCCCTGAGATATCCTCAAACCTTAAAAAATATCCCCCGAAGTCTTCTTGAAACCAAATAATAGTCTAGCTTAACTAGTAAAGACTGTCTGCTTTGAGCATTATGCTCCTGTAAGAACCATCTATATAGGATCAAACTGACAATAGCAACTGTTAAGATCAGGCAGGCAACTTGGGGGGCAGTGAGTTTACATTCGTGGCAGAGGAACAACTCGGAAAAGGAGGGTGAGAATGGTTGCACGACTAGAAGAATGTCATCAATGTCACTGAGTTGGACATGTAGAAATCGTTGAATGGGTCTGTGTTCTGCTGTGTGCGTTCTCAATGACAAAAACTAAAATGAATTAAAGAACAAAACCCCTCCCCCATCGCTATCAGGGCGAAGGACGTGAGGGCCAGCTTGTCAGCAGGTCCTGGGTGACATCCAGCCTTTCCACGGCCCACAGGGTGCACTGGGGTACTAGGACCACTCGCCTATGGATTGATTGCTATGGTTAATTTATTTTTTCTTAAATGATAGGTTAAGAAAATAACCAAGAAAAAGCCAATAGCCTGATAAGAGTTTTGCATTCTCAGCATTTCCCTTTCAAACTGGAGTTGAGTGAAAACTTTTTCAATGTACCTTTTCTAATGTTTGTTTTCTTCCCCTGGTTCCGGAAAGTTTTTTTCTTTTAAGGACAGAACAATGGACTGATTGTACAATGGCTTTTGCAGAAAG